TGCTGAGTTCGGGGAAATTAATTTCTGTCATTTAATCAAGCATTTCATTTTGCCACCGTCGGTCGTTTCGGTGCGCACTGGCACGCCGCTCGCTGCGAAAGGCCCATGCAGGACGAGATGGCCACAAAGCTCAAAGTTTCTACCCTGTGCTAAGTTTCCAACCTTTTTGTCAGAACAAATAAATAAATAAATACAATTTTAAAGGCCATTTTAAAAGTGAAATAAGCTGAACGACCCCCAGAGGTTTCTCTGTTGTTTGCCCCTCTGCGCTCATTGCTCTGCAGACACCAGCGCGGGGGCAACACGACGTTTATTCATCTTTAACTCCCCCAAACCGGGAGATTTTTAAAATCTTCCATCAAACCTGCAGTGCACAGCCCCTAGGATTTAAACTCAAGGTTTTCCTCGTGTGCCCTCGCACAAATGTCTCCCTGGTGGTGCTCTGGGTGGCACCGGGAGCACCCGGCCTCCTGCGCCCTGAATGACCCCTGTGCCAAGCTCCTGCGGGATGGGGGCAGCTTCTTTTTGCCCCCCTGTCTCCAAGCACCACGGCTGGGCAGCGATGCTCTTTTTTGTAAAATGGGGACAGAAATGCTCTCACTTTGTAAAACGGGGGGCAGAATTGCTCTCACTTTGCCAAAGGGGGGGCAGCGATGCTCCCACGTCCCCCATGGGTGCTGCATTCCCGTGGCTGCACGCCCTTTGCTATCTCTGCGAGGGGCAGGGCCTGGGAAAGGGGGGGAATTTCCCATCTGAAATCCCTCGGTGCTTCAGCCTCGGGAGATAACAACGGGCAGCAGAAGGCTCCAGGTGGAAATTCCCCTCTCCTGTGGCTGGAACCGGCCACGGGGACAGGCGCAGGTATTTCGCCTCTGGCTGTAGTGGCAGAGGGAGCTGTAGGAAATCCCCCCCCATCCTCCTCCTCCTCCTCTTCCTCCTCCTCTGCTACGGCCCTGCTGCTTCCTCAGCTCGGGGTGCTGTGGGTCACGGTGTGGGGAGCCCCAACCTGCCCCCCCAGCCCCTTATCCAGCCCCCAGCCCTCACCAGCTGGAGCTCAGCAGCACCACCAGCATCAGCGTGGCTTCACCCGGGGCAAGGAAACCCTCGGGGACACTCAGAGCCTCCTTGTGTGCCCCAAAAAAAAAGAACAGCCCCCTGCACGGAGGGAAAGAAGGGGTGTCTGCAGGGTGCTAAGCGTGCGAGGTGGTGGGCGTGCAGCGGGCTGCGGGCGCATTGTGGTGGCCGCGCATTGTGTCAGGGCGCATTGTGGCGGCTGCGCAGCGCGGCGAGGATGTGCAGGGAGGCAGGTGAGCGGCACCCGAGGCAGAGCAGCTCAGGAAGCGAGGCTGGGGCCAGCTCGCCCCGGAAAATCCTGGCCGTGGCAGCTCTCGTGCTGAAATGGGAGCTGCGTGAGCGCGGCGTCGGGCTGGTGCCGCGTGGGAGGCACGGGGAGCGAGGCAGGACTCAGCCCTGCGGGGAGGGATGAGGGCAGGGAGGAGGCTGAGCTCTCCGGCATCTCCTAACGGGGCACACGGTGCTGGTAACCACCCTGGAGGCCACCGCCACGGGGCACAGCATCGCCCAGCAGCTTTTTCACACGGAAAAGGACACGTCCAGGCCACAGCTCGCGTCCCGGGATGACATGAGTCATGCCCAGCCAGCGGCTGCGTTTTTCCAGCAGCTGCACGGGGAGCCCGCGAGAAGTCTCCCTCTGGAAGAGGTTTTCCCCATGGGAAGCAGAGTTTTGCTGGAAGCACCTGGGGATTGTGTTATACCACGAAGCGTTCGCGCTGCCCCCAAAGCGAAAAACATGGCTGAAGGCCGTGGGGTTTCCCCGGCTCGCAGGAGCTGCGTTTCGAACGCGCCGGGTTCCTCTTCCCCTTTGAAGCTGCTTCCCCAAACAGAGCTCGGAGGCCTTGCCGTGATGCCCCCCCCCCCCACCGGGCTGCGGAGAGGTGGCCAAGCCAGAGAGACGGTCACCCCCGGGAAGGATTTTTCCTATGGAAAATAAATTTTGCCCCCAAATTCCCCCAGGGAGGTGTCTCCCCGTGATTTTTGTGCCGAGCATCCTAGCTTTTAACCTCCTTGTCCCCTGGGCTGCTCAGCGGAGGAGGAGACCTGCGGATGCACGCTCGCCTTCGGGAATGCGAGAAGGCTTCGCAGGGAAGGTTCACGTCTCCCATCTACTCCTCGTGAGTAATAACCGTGCCAGGGAAAAAGCAAAATGATTCAGATGTTGCCTCCCCAGCCCCCAGCCTCCTGAAAAGAGCCTCAGCGCCGAGCGCTCACAGCAGCTGAGCACGAAGGCGTGGAGGCGCAGAGCCTGGGGACGCGCCGGACCCCACAGGCGCCCTCGCACTCCGCGTGTGTCTCGTGGGGTTTCACACCAGCGTGTGCAAGACTCCAACAGCGAGGCCGAGCCTGCATCTGCCACGCACACACCGACACCACGGGCTGTGCGTGCGCCCCTGCCTGGCCTTTGGAGACGTGTCGTGACGCCCCATGGGGTGCTCCCGCACGGCACCGCTGCCCCGTGTGTCCCCCGTGGGACATCCCCAGCTCTGTGCGCCCTCCTCTCCTGTCCTGGCACCCCGAAAAGCTGACCCCATGCAGTTTGTTCTGCCCTGTCCCACACTTATGGCACAGAAAAACAGCAGCAGGACGGTGCCCGGGCTGGATGCTGTGCCAGGAGGCGCACTGCCACGCCGTGCAGGTACCCTGCAGGAGCAATGAGTGAGGACGGGGCCAGTTTTGGGCTGTCCCTGCTCCTCTCCAAGCCCCCACATCTCCCTGGGCTCTCCTCCAGCAGGAGGAGAACGCAGAGGGGCACTGCAGCTGCCTGCCCCCAGCAGGTTGTAGGGCCCTGTGGACGTTTTGCCCTAAAAAAGCCCCTACTCTGGGCGGTTTGGACACGGGCAGATTCCCCCCCTGCATCACCCCGACGGGGCTGGCTTCGGAGGAGCAGCGTGCCCTGCCTGGATGACACAACCCCGGCCCAAAAGGGAAAAAGAAACTGCAACGAGAGGCACCCAAAGCAGAGCAGGACTCGGGCACGCCGGCACCTAGTGAGCACGGGGGTGTTGCATCAGCCCCTCGCACCGCAATGCTCCCATGTCCTCGTCCTCCCCGTTTTCCCCCCTTTGCTCCTCTCCAGGTTCAGCAGGAGAAACCGCCCTGCCCTTGGGCAAACAGTGAGCTGGCAGCAGATAGCAGAGCGGCACCTCCCGCCCCGCCACCACGGCCCAGCTTTTCCCCAGCACCCCGGCACGGATGTGAGCGACGGCCCCGCTCCCCATTTTTCGCCCCGAAAGCGAGCGGTGGGCGCTCACCTTGGCGTGAGGGGCGCGTGGGGGGCGCCTTGGAGCGGGCTGGCCCCGTGGGAGGCTCGGCAGCCTCGCCGACAGGAGGGCTCCCCGGGTGGGTGCGTGTCCCGCGGGCTGGTACCGGTGCCGAAACCACTCCTCCCCGCCGCCCGCTTCCGGATAGGGCTCACCAGGGCTGGCGAGAGCCACGGCGACGCCGCCGAGGAGGAAGAGGAGGCAGAAGGCGAGGAAGGCCCTGAGATCCCCTCACCTGCCCACCCAGCCACCCTCTCCGGGCCCCACGATGCGGGTCGGGGCAGGTCCCATCCGGGAATTTGGGCACGGAGCCCGGCAAGCCGGTGTTTGGGGCCGGTCCCGCTCCCTGCTCGTACCTGGGAAGAGCTGGCAGGCTGCCCCCATGGAGCCCCGGCGCTGCGCAAGGGTCGGGGCAGGAAGGAGGATGGTGCAAGAGCCGCTGTGCCAACGTCCGGGGGTGCGGGGTGGGGGCTGGCACCGTCACCACCACCGCCTTGGGCCACCCCCCCCTGTTTACGGGGTGCCCCAGGGCTCCCCGGATATTTGCTTGCCGAGGATCCCCTCCAAGGGTGGGCTGCCTGCAAAAGTGCCCCCAGCCCCGGAGCAACGCCGAAACTTAACCTCAGCTGGGGCTGGGCACCGAGAAGCCGAGGAAGAGCTGGAGGAGGAGGAGGGGCACCCCAAAACATGGTGGTGGTGGTGGGGGGGGGTTGTGGGGGCACAGCCGTGCAGCGGGGCGGGATGGGGGAAGCAGCGGGGTGAAGCCGCAGCGGGGCACTTCCCCTAAACCCCGGGCAGGCGTCTTCCTTCTGCCACCAGCTCTGCAGGCAGAAGCCACAAACTGCATCTGCTGCAGCCCCACAGGCTCCGTGGGCTAACGGGCACCTCCTGGGAAGCCCCCCCAGCCCCACGGCAGAGATTCCTCTTCCCCACAGGGGATCTGGCTCTGGGGCTGGGTCGTGCCATCCATCGGGACCCCATCGCTGCTGAGACCACCCAGCCCCGCTGCCAGCAGGGTTTGGGGGAGCCGTGACCTCCCGGGGGTCCCCTGCAGAGTGCGCATCGGTGGCTGCGCCCCATGGCTGGGCGCAAGGGGGTCCGGGGGTTCCGAGCCCCCCACCTCGGGGACCAGGAGCGCAGGGTGGTCACCGTCACCCTCTGCCAGCCCAGAGCTCCCGCGGCGGCTCTCCCACGCAGGCGGAGCGGCGCTGACAGCCTGCGCCCACTCTCCGCTTGCCAGCCGAGCTGTTTCCACGCCTAAATGCCATCCAAGCCCTGCAGCTACCTCCTCACGCCCCGTGCGGGCCAGCATCTCCAGCAAAAGGGCAAGGAGGGGGGAGCGCAACGGGCAATGGGTGACCCCCTCCTAGCATGGGTGGTGGTTTTTTTTGGGGGGGGGTGGGGGCAGAGACCACCGGCTCCAGGATCCCCTCCGGCTCTGTGGAGAGCTGAAGCAGCCCCCCGCACACATTTCTCTCCCCGTGCCCTCCCGAGGAGGTGCCTGGGCTCCTCGTTGAGTTTGGGAGGGACACCGCGGGACGCCGGGCAGCACGGCCCCCCCGGGGAGCAGGGCCAGGCTTTGGTCCTGCTGATCCCTGCCAAAAATGACCCCCCCCCCATCAACCCCAAACCTCCCACAGCAGCTTCAGCCCCGAGACTTACAGGAGAGCTGGTTCAACAGCCGGCTGAGCCATCCCATGCTCCTGCACCCAGGGCGAGCTCGTAGCTAAGAAATGCTGGAGAGAAACAGGTTTCCCCCCGCCTCCCCGAACAACCCCCCCCCCTCCTCCCCTTTCCCCAAACCACCCTCTTCTTGGCACGGAGAGAAGCGATAAAAGCTGACAGGATTTATTAATAGCACCTCTCCCATCAGCAAGGAGCGGGGTTTCGGCACGGCTTCGAGCATCCTCGCGCGGGGCTGCCGGAGGCCAAAAGGCACCAACTTACTTTTGGCCAGGGCGCAGGGGACGGTGCCGGAGGGTCTGGGTGCAGGAGGAGGAGGACACGGGTGGCAGCTCCGGGGCCTCCAAGAAGAGGTTTGGCGTGCTGAGGAGAGGAGCAGAAGAAGTTGTGCTGTGCCGGAGTCAGGCAGAAATTGGGGAGACGCAGGCAGGAGAGGCGGCTGGGGGTGTCCTTCGAGCAGGAGGGTGGGATGCAGCGGTCCCCACTCGCTCGGAGCCGCTGCACGGCTGCTGCATGTTATTGCTGCCATCTTCAGGACGGCCAACCCGGCCTCGATTTGGGGTTTTCGGGGAGGAAAAATCCCAATCCTCGGTGGGAGGCTGCTGCGGGGCGGGCACAGCGCTGACACCCCCGCGTCGCCCCCAAAATCCAGCTCCGTGGCAGTGCTCGGTGCTGGGGGCACCCCAGCAGGGCTGGCAACGGGGTGCCAACGGGGTCACGAGATTGGGGTGCTTTTGGGGTGGGTGTCACTAGGAGCCGGGATAAATATGCTGCTGGTAAGGGGTGCACCCCAACAGGAGCATAGGTGCTCGAGTCAGCAGTGTGAGGACCCCATTTCCCCAGTGTGGGTGCCCCCCACCAGCCCCCCATTTCTCCTCAGCAGGGTCAGGCCCTCAGGTTTGGAAAAGGAGGAAGGATTTAGCAGGAAAGTGCCCCAAATGGAGCTAGATCTGCTCTCCTGCTCTCCTTTCGGAGCTCTGACCGGGATTTTTCCCCCACTGCGCCACAAAGGGGCCAGGCAGGGGTCCTGCCCCCCAGCCCAGCGATGGATGAGGACGAAATGACCAAAATGACCGAAATGACCGAAATTACACGCCCTTCTCCACCCGGAGCCACTGGTGCTCAGGACAGCGGGGTGGCCACCAAACCTGGAGGAACTCAGCTCCGGTGGCATCCCCGCGCTGTTGCCATGGGGTTGCCATGGTTTTTGTGTCTGCTGTTACCATGGAGAGAGGAGGAGGAGGCCGGGAATAAGGGGATGATGCCAGGGGCCACCGGCACGTCCCCCAGACCCCGCACCGAGGAGCTGGGGGGGGTCTCCGGTTCCCTTTCTTGCCCTTCTTGAAGGTGCCTTCCCAGGGAATCCAAGTCGGCTACGGGCAGCCAGGAGTAAAGGGGGTGTTGGGGAAGGGCTCTGGGGTTGCCCCAAGCTCTGTGGGGCTGGGTGAGCCCATCACGGTGGTCCCAAGGTAGGAGAGATGGGCATGGGAGGACAGGTTTTGTAGGCACGGGTTGAGCGGGGTCACACGTCGGCTGAGATTTGAGGTCCCCTGGTTTGGGATTGAGGAGGTCCAGTGGGTGCTGCAGTCCCTGATGGATTATTCTTTATTATATATTATAATTATTCTTAATTATATATTATAGGATTTATTTCTGCTGCGTGGTTGTCCCGTAGCTGGGGACACACGTAGGGCAACGCCTGTGCACGGCGAGGTTCAGGAGGGCACTCAGGTCCCCATGGGGCTGGGCGCTGAGCTGGCCCTAAAAATCACCGCGGCAGCTCACGAGCGTGGTTTTATTTGAGAAACGAGCTCACGATGGGGGTTTTATCTGAGAAACCTTGATGCAGGTGCACGGAGATCACGGCTGCGAGTTCAGAGGGGTCCGTGAGGCACAGACACCGAGGTTTTATTCCCTAAATTTCCCCATCTGATTACAGATTACTGCCAACCACCACTAGCAAATATACACATAATTAATGAAGCAAATGTATAACGAGCCATTAAGAATTATGGCCAAGAAAGCAACTATATATAGATAGATCTATATTATCAATAGGAGCAGCAATCAACAGTTTAGTAGCAAGTGTGTATATATATAAAGTATATATATTAATATACAGGAACGTGCCGCTATTAATATATAATATGCAACATGTAATATGTAATATATATGATATATAGTATGCAGTTTATAGTATGTAATATATAATATGTAATATATAACATATATTATACAATTAATGATCTAATTATAATCTAATTATCTAATAATAATCTAATATATAATATATAGTATATATAACATATAATATGTGATAACATATAACATATAGCATATAGCATATAACATATAACATATAACATGCAATATAATATGTAATATATGTAACATATATTATAGAATTAATAATCTAATTATAATCTAATTAATAATAATCTAATATATTATATATAGTATATATAACATAATATGTAATAACATATAACATATAATATGCAATATAATATGTAATATATGTAACATATAGAATTAATGATCTAATTATAATTGAATTAATAATAATCTAATATATAATATATAGTATATATAATATATACTATATATAACATATAAAATAAATATATATATATCAGATATCAGGTATATCAGATTATCAGATATATCAGATTATCAGATATATCAGACATATCAGATATGATATATAGTATACAATATGCAGCATACGATATATAATGCACAATATATAGTATATATTATTTATAATGCACAGTGTATATATTCTTTATATTTCGTAACATATAACATTACAGGAAATTACCACGAGTATAGTAGCAAATACACTGACGATGGCTTTTTTATCTGCAACGGCCAAGAGCGGTCGCCGATTCCTACTTTCTCAGGACGTTTTTCTCTTTTCCAGACGAGGTGCTGCTGTTTCAGTTCCTCGTTGCTGCCCTTCGTTTCAGTATCTCAGGCTGCACAAAGTTCCTGGGTGCACCCGGTGTCTTTCCAAGGAAGTTTCTGGTTCCCAGGTGAGGTTTTGCGGTGGCCAGGGCATTTGTGTCTCGATCATTAATTTAGCCAATTGTTGTTTTATTGTTTGATTCAGTCTTTCTACTTTCCCTGAGCTTTGTGGGTGCCACGGAGTATGGTATTCCCACTGAATACCTAACGATTGACGTAATAATTTTATTATTTTTGAAGTAAGGTGTGTGCCCTGATCAGAATCAATGTTTATTATCCCATATCTAGGTATCAGGTGTTCTAATAGAATTTTTACCACCATTTGTGCTACGGGCTAAGCTTCTACCCATTGTGTTAAATGATCTACTATTACCATATATTTTGTATATTTTGTGTTTTGTATATATTGTATATTTTATCCTCTCTACTTTGGGCAATTCAGTGCAACCGACTTGTACTTTCTCAAAAGCCCTATAAGCTGCTTTGTTTCGTTTCTCCCTCCCGTGGCTGCTTGTTGAAACACTTTCTTTTTTATCTTCTGACAAGTTAAGCAACGGTTATGTAATAAAAAACAAAAACAAAAACAAAAAAAAAAAAACACAATGCAACCAAATTTTTTTAGTAAATGATCACTTAACGCCTTTGTACCCCAATGTGTTTGTGCATGCAAACGTCCCAATATTTGCTTCTCATAAGCTTTTGGCAATATCTCTTGCCTGTCTGTCATGGTCCCTCTGCCCCAAAGGGCTCACACCGGTGATTTTGGGATCACAGCCTCCTGTTGAGGCAGAACTATTAACATTCCTACATCCTCTTTTCCCTGCTCATTCAACTTCAAACAGCTCTGTTAAATACATGCCACACCTTCAACAACTCTTTTAACCCTTCCTTTATTTTCTCCAGCCTGTATTTTTCTCATGCCAACACCAAAGGCTCAGTCAGGGGCCAACTGAATTCCACTCTTTTCCTCTAAGATGCTGAAACAACATATCAGTATGAGACATTTAATCCTATTTTCCTTCTCTACTCAAAAAAAAAATAATAATAATTGCAAGACAGTGTTATAGTCGATTGATCTATAAGGTGGCCATTTAATTTATATAGTGGCCACCACTGATTGCAATACTTAGTGAAAGTCCTCTTGCTTTCTGTGCCCCCCAGTTCTTCGAATGTGCCAATATGCACCCAAGGAGGCTTTCTTTAAAACGTCTTTCTTTCGGATATTACCCATTTCCTTGATTTCCCATTCCCTTTTATTTATTTATTTATTTATTTATTTATTTATTTATTTATTTATTTATTTATTTATTTATTACTATTCCTGCACCCAAGGAGGCTTTCTTTAAAACGTCTTTGTTTTGGATATTACCCATTTCCTTGATTTCCCATTCCCTTTTATTTATTTATTTGTTTGTTTGTTTGTTTGTTTGTTTGTTTGTTTATTACTATTCCTTACTAGTTACTTGTCCTTTCTTTCAATTTCCACGCAAAACTTTTTACTGAGGGTTTTTACCATCTTTTCCTAATCTTCTCCCCAAATGTCCCAATTCTCTGGGATTAAACTCTTCTTCCCACGTACAAACTTTACTATTTCAGATTATTAACGAGCCCCGTTTCAATCATAAATCCACGGAACTTCAGGAAAACAGCTGGAGCACGCAGCCTTCAGTCTTCTAGCCAAACATTACCACCTTTTCCACAAAAATTCACGTTTCAACAGGACCGAATTTCAAGCCGAATTTTTTCTCATGCACTTTGTTAGTAAGCCAATACAAAACAAGGAATCGCTTGGGAAACTGACCAAACACCGCAGCAAATACACCAACACTTCCCAACTGTTAGTTACTTAGATAATGCTCCTGCCTTTTTTCTTGTCACACTCAAAGCATTTAAGAGCAAAAAAATAGGATCACAATATACACCGCCAGGCCCATATATTAGGCACCACCACTCAAAATTTGGATAAAACAGCACTTTTTTTCGGTCTGTCATGCACTTCCAAGGACACCAAGTCACAAACCACCAAGGACAGTTTAAAGGACAAGGAGACCTGCTGGGCTGGGTGGCATCAGTGCCCGGGCAGGGGCTGTGCTAGCCCTGGGGGGCTATCACTTGGAAGCACGTTGGGTGCTGGTCCTTGGGGG